CCCCCCACCAGCAGACTTCTCTGGAGTGAGGATCAGGTGCCTCCCAGAAAACCTAATGAAGATTTGTCTACATCATTCCTTTCTTAGCTTTCCTCTTCTGGGGTCCCCAACACAGAAAGGACATGGAGCTATTAGAGTGAGTCCAGATGAGCCCACCAAGATGATTATAGGGATGGAGCACCTCTGTTATGGGGAAAGGCTGAGACAATTGGGATGGTTCAGCTTGGAAAAGAGAAGGTTTGGGGATCACCTAATTTCAGGCTTACAGTACCTGAAGGGAGTCTACTAGAAAGATGGAGAGAGACTATTTACAAGGGCCTGGAGTGACAGGACAAAGGGGAATGGCTTCAAACTGAGAGCGAGTAAGACTAGATTAGGAAGAAATTCTTTGTTGTGAGGGTGCTGAGGCACTGGCACAAGTTGTCCAGAGCAGCTAGGGATGTCCCATCCCTGGCAGCATTCAAGAGCAGGTTGGATGAGGCTCTGAGCAACCCAGTCTGGTGAAAGGTGTCCCTGTCCATGGCAGTGGGTTGGAACTAGGTGATCTTTAAGGTGTCTTCCAACCCAAACCATTCTGTAATTCTATAATTTCTCCATATACAATTTGTGGCCTCACCTTAAAGAGTCTCCAGCACACATCTCACTCATCCTTATCAAATCCTATTTCATTTGGAGACATTGGCCTCTGTCTCTCTTTACAAAGGTCTCTGTGTTTGCTCTTTTTTTCTAGTCTTCCAATTCTACCTGCAGAACCAGAATCACTGGTTCCACTACAATGTACAGGCATTCTGCTCCTATTTTGTTCTCACTGCTTCTTTTCACATACCCATGCTGTTCACCTGCTCTCTGTTCAAACTTTAATCTTAGACTGGAATGTCTCATTGAGAGAGACTGTGTTTTGGCATAGAGCTCTGTAAAATATTCTGTTTATTTCCAAAACGTCTGTTAGAATGAATCTAAATGATAGTAACAAAACTATTCCTCTTCTTCTTCTGCAATCTGTGTGAGATCATAAGGATCAGAATACCCCCCCAAAAAATGGACCAAAGACTCATTCTTCCTCTGAAAGTGAAGACTAAAGATGTGCACTTTACAGGTGACAGTGAAAAGTTAGACTTCACAAGTACTTAAGCAAGATAAAAACGACAATAAGTGATTATGGTTTTTTCTGCAATGAAAGTTTCATCCTACTTCAGAAAAAGAAAAAAAAAAGAAGGAAGGAGATATGTCCCAAATTAGGATGAAAAGCTAAAGTGTTTGTTTTCAAAAATGTTTTTAATTACTGTGAACCAAATGTTTTACGTCAAGAACTTATAATATTTTGTTTTGATTTCTTCTATTTTTAAAACTCCTCTAACATAAATTCCATTTTGAAATAAGAAGTCATTTAATAACAGCAGTTGGAAACTCCTCACTCTATAAAAGTTGAACTGAGATATTTTATTAAAATCAAAACATATTTTACAAAAAAAATAAAATAAGCTGCAATAAACCGTATTCTAGTGGAGAGGGGCTTCAACACTACAATATTTTAAAAGCTGTACTCTCATTTTATTTCTACCAAGAAACCACAAGGTGTCTATAGAAGAAAAATATTACAAGGGGATTCTGGAGGTTCATGCTGTTAACAGAGGACCACTGCATCAAAGGTGCTTCATACCTGAACTCCAGGCCAAAACTCAGGCACAAAACTTTGTCCTTTCCTACCTTGTACCTTTGTGAAAGACTATCTTGCCCTTGACTAGCCTCCTAAATGTAGAGGTAATATGGGCTTGATCTGTATTAATCTTGATATTTATGTCTGGATAGAAAAGCCATGAGATATTACAGAATGTTGTTCAAATGTGTCAACTGCTCCCTGATGCCTGTTTGCCTTGAAGAGACTGGTAAGCAGGGAATGGGAGAGAGGCATTGGAATGGACTGCCCAAGGAGGTGGTGGAGTCACCATCCCTGGAGGTGTTCAAGAAATGACTGGACATGTCACTTAGTGCTATGTCTAGCTGACAAGTTGGTGATCTGTCAAAGGTTGATCACATGGTGATCTTGTGGGTCTTTTCCAACTTAAATGATTCTGTGATTCTGAGAGGAAGAGACAGAAAACTTGCAAAGGCTTTTCCCCAAACCTATGCATACACAGTGGCAATGTAGTGAGCAAAAATTCAGCAATTGCAAAATACAGACTTATCTTCTCAGAAAATCTTTTTGAACTTTTATCAAAATAGAACAGTAGTCCCTGCAACACCACAATGTATTGTCCATATTTGTTTAGAGAAGCTTGAGACAAAAACAGCAGAACATCTACCTCATGCAATAGTCATTAAAGACGAAGAATTATGTTATCATAACTATATTAAGAAGAAACATCTTGCCAAATGCTTATAATTACAGAGAGAGGAAACATACAGAGACAAAGCTGATAAGTTCTGTGGATTCAAAATTCTATGTTACATTAAAAATGGTATTGCAAAGGCTCCACCTATAAGTTCTGTGGATCCAAAATTCTATGTTATATTAAAAATGGTATTGCAAAGGCTCCACAATGGCTGAAACTCATTATCCTCTCGAATAGAGGAATCATAGAATCATAGAATCACAGAACAGCTTGCGTTGGAAGGGACCTTAAAGATCATGAGTTCCAAACCCTAGGCTGTGGGCAAGGACACTTTCACTAGACCAGGTTGCTCAGAGCCCCATCCAGCCTGGCTGTGAACAGTTCCAGAGATGAGCCCATTATTACAGTTAAGATCCAAGCTGTAACACTGTTTTAAGAGAACACCAGTGTTTAACTTCAGTTGTTTTAAATTGGTAGCTGCTTCATGAACAATTTAATAATTCAGCACTCTCATTCTATTAACGCGGGTTCTAATTGAACTCAGAATCCTGAACACTGAGTAGCTCACCCATGATAAACTTATGTTCACTGACAACCACTGACATAACTCCAAATGAGGACATTGGAGCAAATCCTTTACCTTCAGGGATACATTGTGTTCTCCCATAAGAGGTTATGCAGAAAACTCAGTTGTGTTGCAGTCATATTTCTCCCTATGTGTTACAATCCAGAAAAGCAGAAAGACATGGCAATTCCTCTGACTGGTGTTTTCATTTTCCTGCCTACTTGGTACCAGATCCTGTTCTGCTACTGTCTGTGAGATATGGACTCCTACTAGATTCCCAACACACATGAGGATCCTCAGTTTGCCTATTCTCTGTTAATCTTCATATAGGCAGATAATAATATTGCTCATCTGAGGGCAGTGCCTTATTTTTTATATTTTCATAGTTAGCAGAATCTGTAGCCTAAAGTAACAATTAACCCTCTGAAGAACCTCTGCTGCAGATCTCATAGCCATCACAATAATTGATACATTTCATGACCTTTTGGAAAGAG